GGACCACGGCACAAGGCGCTCAGGCGGCCCCGGCCCTAGGGCATACGCTGGCGCTGGGTGCAAGGGCATCCCAGTCCTCTGGGGTGCCCCCGGACGCACGGCCCTGCCCCTGGGCGCCCGGCGTGTGAGTGGCCCCCACCTCCCGGGTGCCCGGCGCGTGAGTGGCCCCACCTCCCGGGCACCCGGGAGCCTCTAAAGGTTGGGGACCACTACTTTAACCTGTACGCACAAAGCTGCTGTTGGTAATGCTTATGATAGGAAAGATTTCTGGATATTAACTATAGACCCGGTCTTTCACAAAAACATTTCTTTTTACACACTGAAATTAACCAAATAAACCTATTGATGATATTAGCAAAAGTTCTGTTTGAGTCCCCATCTGCTGCTGCAATTTTTTAAAGAGTGTAAACCGTTATAACCATATCAGAAAATCCTGCCATGTTTGGAGACTGTCTCTAATGCATTCTGCTGTTGCATTCAGTCAATGAGCACTTAAGAATCAGATGATGCTGTAAAGCTTTTATCTGGCTGATCTTGGCTTTGCAGAGTAGGCTACATCATTCTGAAAAGGTAATGCATTTGGAATATTGACAGTGCTTCAAATTAATGGTGCCCCAAGGTCACTAAAATAGCTGAAAAGTACATTTAAAAATATAATCTGACCCTATGGGCTCTGACAAAATACAGTTGTGGTGGCAACAGAGTGACTCTCAACATTTGCAAAGCATCTATGGTTTTACTGAACCAATCCCGTTTTACTGAAATTCAGGTTTACTAGCATGATCACCCATAGCTTAATTTTGTCCTTGTCCAGCCCAGAAGTCTTTTGCTTTGTTCATTATTGTGTGATAACTTTCCATTGCTTTTATGTACTGTATCATTATTATTTTGATGTATTGCCTACTAACATTGTACATTGTCAGTCCAGTGCTGGCAAGATTACTCACCCACCTCAGCAAAGACTGAACTAATTGTGTTACTTGAGAATTTTTTTTGTATATCAGCCATTCTAATCCGCAGGTTTTTGGTTTGTTTTGTTTTTGGCAAATCAGCTGAAAGCTCTCATTGCCATGGAAACTGATTCCCAAAAAACCTCTTTACCCCATTTTTAACCAGACAACTCTTGTTTCCATGGGAATATCAGCCTTCAGCTGACTCCAGAACAGTTTATATTTCAGTTCTGCTAATAAGTGAGATAAGCAAGACCCGTTTTTTGACCTATGAACTGGATTCAAGAGGCTCCAGAAACCTCTAGTTCTTAATTTGCGGTGAGGGGTTGAAGTCTGAAAGTAGTGTGTGTATTTTTAGGAAAAAAATCCATTTCATTAACTGAATTTGTTATTGATGATCCCAATTAAAGATGTTTTTTAAAACTAATTACATACCTAAAAAAACCTTTTATTTTTAATTTCGGGCACTTAAGATGATCTTAATTCTTCACCCTTTTTTATCTATCCTGTACCCCAAATGTAACTAAATATTGTATCATACTCGCAATGCATATGGTAAAAGGGGAAAAAACAAGATTGCATAGGCAACCATAAATCTGGCATGTCCTAACTCTTGAGTATTTTACTTTAGTGTTCTCATAACAGACTTTTTTTCATACTTTCACACTTTTTTTAAGAGTTAAGAGTTTAAACAAATTCTGTTATGAAAACCTGTGATACCTCTCATCATATGTCTCCAGTATTAGTACCCTGACTCTGCAGCACAGATGTCTGTCACTTGAGCTACAGGGCTAACTACAACAGTTGGCAGTAAGAGAAGACTGTTGACCCAGTAAGGGTATGGGCTCATGGAGCCATATGTTGGATGCAGGGAATGTTCAGAGGTAGCTAAGGTGAAAATTGTTTTGCCATTCTCGGACTTTGAGGGAGCTTCTGCACCTTGTGGTGCTCCCAAAAGCACATGGCAACATGGGAGGAGCCTGTTTCATGCTCTCATACACCAACCGCATGCATTTCCAGTATAGGGAGTTGATTTATCAGCTCTTTAGAATTTTTGTTACCAATTATTATTTTAGTGTGATGCTGTCAAGGCTGTTTCCCACTCTGGCACAACAAATGCAGAAGTTGGGGGCCTGCAAGAGCACTCCAAAACCTTGTCTCTACAGGCTCTGGTACAAAAACTTCCCCCCACAAAATCCTAATACCCAGATTTTGGGGATCTGCTGCCACCATTAAATGCTTTTGAAATAAAATAAAACAATATAAAACAAACAAACAGGGGTGGACATTTGAAACCAACCCCAAGGGTACCCCAAGTTCTTCCCCAAAAGAGCTTGAAAAAGAAAAGAGAAAACCAAACTACAGTCTATGGTAGCTGACCCCTCAGTCAGTGGCACGCAGATAACCATCCAGGACACAAGAATCAACCACTACCAGTTAATTAGAAAAAGGAGTCCATATTTTATTATCAAAACAAAATTACAGTTGCAAGCATAGTAAATTGACTAGAAAGAAAGAGCCACCATTTGATATAGATACTCAGGGAAAAAAACCCTGGGCCGTAAGACTTAATTACAAAAGAGAAAAAAGCGATTAGCAAGCCCAGACATTATTTCCAAACTCTGAAACAAGGAAAACACTAAACCCTCACGGACTATCTAAACTTTTCCCTACTTACACATTTTAAGAAGTCCATTGTTGGAGAGAGAAAAGTCTCCCATCTCCCTCAATAGCTGGGAGAAACTGCTCTGGTCTCAAACAAGAGAGAGAAAGAAAAACCCCTCTTTTCCAGTTTGAAATTCCTACCTGCATTGTTATTGACTCACTGCCGGACACCTTGGTTAGGTACAGAAGTTAACCCTTAGTCACCAGGTGCTGGTCAGCACTCCTAATTATGACAGGTACCAAAACTTTTGTGAGGCTTGCAAGGAAGAGAAGGGATCCAATAATTTTAAAACCTGTATAACTTTATCAAACCACAACAGCTTCATGGGACCAACAAATGGCATTTCCCTAACCTGAAAGCATTCTTCCTGTAGAACTTCAAAACCTGCTGCAAACAATGGAGGTGTTAGAGTTTCTCAAAAACAAAGTCATAAGAAACTTCTCATATAGAGTGTTAGGCATTGTAAAGTCACTGCAGAGGTTCTGGCAAAATCAAAATGCATCAATTAAGTACAGCAGCACTGGATAGCTACACATCTTGCTTGGCTTTGAGATGGGCATTTACTGATATTGCAACTTTTTTATTGGAGCATTAAGTAATCAGGGAAACTGATCTCTGGGAAGCTGGTGTTCTGACATTATTTCCTCCCAAAACTATGCAATTCCTGGACCAGCTTCCATGTGTGCAGAATGTTACCCTTTTCCTGAAACCTCTAACAGGTATTAAAGTGCAGTTGGAAACATGGGCTAAGATCACAAAATACCTCATATAAAATGATGGTGTGGTGACTTTATCATTGCATACTATCACTTTTGTTTTCTGGTAACTATTCTGTGCAGATTACCCTGGGACTAAAACACTACAGAATGTCCTTTTCTAATAATCTCAAGAATCAGCCTGGCCCTTGACCACTGCCTTAACACCTTTCTCCAAAAGGAGACCATGACTGCCCTTGGCACCATCTTGGATTTGTTCTTGATTACACCATGCTCAATGGAGTCTCTGTGGTCACTTTTAGAATCTTTATTGTTTTCTCATGAGTTGCAGTTATTATGATAGCGCAAACATGTCTTTAGTGTTTTGTAGATGTTACTCATGTTGTACTATTCTTAGATTATAAAGTCAGAAGGGGCCACTTTGTTAGCCAAGTCCACCTCTTCAGTGCCACAGAAAATTATCTTTTTTCACCTGAATGTGAGTGCTCCGAGGCAGATCTAAGCCCTAGATAACTATTTCCTTATAGTCTGTATAATTCAATACCTTAATGTTTGCATGAGTACCAGAAACAGATCCATGTTTTCTTTAACTGACATTTCCCACTGGTCCATTGTCTTGTATGGAGATGCTGGGAGGCTGTTCTCCAATACTAAGGATCCTGCAGGAAGCTGCATGGATGTGTAATGCAGCGCCATAAGAGACAGACTAATACAACATTTTCCTCAAGCAGTCTTCTCTTAGCACAGGTTCCTCCATTAGGTACATTTGAACAAAAGTCAATTTCCATTAGGCAACATTATAACTGCTTCAAAGTGTGCCAGTCCCTGCAGTTTCCAGCACCATTTGGCTCAAACTTTAGGTTAAGGCAAGTGATTTGCTGGTCGCTTGGAGTTCATGTAATAAGGTTTCAGCATAGTTGGGTACAGGGCACATCAGTGCTGTTTCCTTTTCTTGTACAGAGGGAGTTAGTGCTTGTGCCTGATTTCCTGTGCTTCAAGAGGTGAATAAAAGTCCACAGTAAAACAGACATATACTATTGTGTTTTCTTGGAACTCCACTTCTATCTTGTTAAGGGATTAATGCTTTAAAGCCTGTCTGGAGCTAATCCTTTAAATGTGTTATCTACAAACAAATGAGCACCCAGTTTCCCTGCCCCTAGCTATCAGCATGGAGGCAGTTGCCTGGAATGCGCTCAGACTTTCTATGAATGTTAATGACCAGTTCCAATAATAGGTGTCATTAGATGATTTAAACAGGCAATGTGAAATGCCTTTTACTCTCTGTGGGCCTGATTCTGCTATTATGCTTCTTCTAAGGTTGTGTAACTCCATTGACATTAATGGAATTGCTCTTGATTCATCCAAGTTTGAGTAAGACTCACACTCTGCAAGGTAACTGTGTGCTTTTATAACTTTGACCCTCTTAAATAACAGGTTCCTAGATGTCAGTATGGCAGCTTCAAACCTGGAGAACCAGTTGCACAGTGCCCAAAAGAATCTGTTGTTTCTCCAACGAGAACATGCTAACACCCTCAAAGGTTTGCATGCTGAAATTCGACGACTGCAACAGCATTGCACAGGTAATTACATAAGTATCGCCAGCAGGGTTGCTATGAATACTCATCAGCTCAGCTTCACTCCCAAGTCCTCTCCTTTCTGAAGCCATTTGAAATTCTGTTTCATGCTAGTAATCAAATATTATCTTTCCATCTGCACTTCTGAAAGAAGGTTGGTATTATATTTTAGTAATCACAAAAGAGGTTCACTCCACTTCTTAATATTGAAATCTCCATAAAACATTGTCTCCTGTGTTGTACATAGTTTGATCTAAGTACATTTCTGAGTACACAAACTATTGTCATAAGTTAGTACAGTTGTTAGAGTAACTGAAGAGTCTGTTTTCTGATGTGTTTTTTCTGATATCTGTTTCATGTTCATTGGCTTTTTTGCTAAAATAGTAATCTGCAGTGGATCCATTAGATCAAAGTAAGGTTCTGTTATAATTTATCATAGAAAATAATAATGTACAGGCAGTCCCCGGGTTACGTACAAGATAGGGACTATAGGTTTGTTCTTAAGTTGAATTTGTATGTAAGTTGGAACTGGCTCCAGATTCAGCCGCTGCTGAAACTGATCAGCGGCTGACTACAGGAAGCCCTAGGCAGAGTTGCTCTGCCCCTGGCTTCCTGGAATCAGCCGCTGATCGGTTTCAACAGCGGCTGAATCTGGACTCCTGGGACAGAACAGCTGGGGCACTGCCGGGTAGGTCCCCGCAGGACCAACCCGGCAGCACCCCAGCTGCTCTACCCCAGGCATCCCGCAACAAAAGCCTGGTCTGCTGGTGGGGAGGGGGCTCAGGAGAGCTGAGTAAAGCTGCGGAGGCGCAGAGGTCCCGCCGCCTCTGCGGCGTTTGT